TATGCAGTCTTGACTGACATGCGGATATTCCCATTACGTTGCAGTCCGCGTATCCCTGTCTTTCCCCGCATTTTGCATCTCACGCTGCCGTTGCTGCACCAGCCGGCGGCATCTGACGAAGACTGCTCTGTATGTTTTAGTTTCGCGGTTGATGGAGGCTTCCTGCAGTCTATTCTTCTCGACGAGGGGGTTCGTGGTTTCGGTGTCGTCGTCGTCAAACTAGTCCTGGTGTGGACGGCGTGTAACCCAAAATTTTCCCGGCAATGGGGTTTATTGCGTTCCGCTGTTGCCACCACATAGTCTCTGCGATGGCGCTGTCGTCCGGGCAGTGCGGCTCTCTCATGCGCTGGGCCAATTTATTACCGAAATCTAAGCGATGAATAGACGTATTCAGCCAAACATTATTTGGCTTATCTGGTGGTCGCTCATCTTATGGTCTCCCGCGAGGTTTCAGTCGGAGCCGCATCTTTGGGATGAACAGGCGGTGATCCGTCCAGCAGATTGTCTTGGTCACTAGCACGTCCTGTCGATCTCGCCGCAGGACAAGAGCGTAGTCTTTTAGTGCCAATGCCACGAATGAGAGGACATCCATATGGCCCTCTCCCGCGGCAGAGGGCAGATGAATGGGTTGGTTTGGAAGTTGTGGTGTTCGGTGCAGGTTCACAGAAGGAGGTAGCCGTTATTGTTACAGCTCTTGATTCCCTGGCGACCCAGACAGCGTTATCGTTCCCAACGCGGACATTGAAGCCACCAAGGATAATAAGCCTTTGACACAGTCGGCAGAAAAGCGTGCCTTTCTTCATAGCACTTGTTTCTCACCTCAGAGCTGATCATAGGAGAAGCGTGGGCGTTGACGACGGTGACGAAGTTGGCTCCCTGAAGCGGCAGACATAGGTTCATACGTCGGTCGTTGCTACCCTACAGCAGACCAGATAGTTGTCCCATGTGATGTCAGTATGGATAGCAAAAGCCACGCTAGCGTCGCGTCGCTCTGTCTTTGGGCGGCCGCTCTAGAGGCATGTGTACTCGGTATTCACCTCCCCTGGTTAGTATTTTTCTGTATTGCAAGGTGTTAAGGCTAATAAGGTTTAACCCTAACGGCTGCGATCTTCCAGGTCCGGTTCCTTAGGAGATGAGAGAAGTCTTGAGAAAGGCAAATTGTTAGTAATAGTTTACTCTGCAGAACGATAGAAGAATAGTTAGGACGAAGGTTGATTCGGGCTGGCGTTGCGTTCGCCGTGAGGGCCGTGAGAGCGTGGCAGCGC